TACATATATTTCTACTCTTATTTGAAATACTTGTATATTGATACAAATGTAAATTTATATCTGTCATACTTTATGTAGGTTCTACTTCTGTTTAGGATATTCGGTATATTGATATATATTTAAGATTATTGTCATATTGCATATCGCACTATATACTCCTACCTCTGTTATAACATCTTGTGTATTGTCACAATTTTGAAGTCATCGTTCTTTACCATACACTTGCTTATAGACTGTTTACCTTGTTTACGTGAAGCCTTAGTCCTTAGGTTATTTCGGTAGATAAGACTTATAGATTTATAGTCACCTATGCTTGTCATCTCTATAGTTACGTTAGTTAGGTTATCCAGATTTACAGATACGTAGGTCAGATGGACAGGTAATCTTCAAACACTTCATAGACCTAGAGAATATGGCATTTAAATAACTTAGAATTCTGTTGATGTGAGACATAATTGCTCCTGGCTGCACCAATTTGATCCCGAGAGAATGTTGGGCTTCTAAGACATTTCCATTTGGAAGTTTGTCTTCTTGGCACAAAATGGCCTACTGGGCAAAGAACTGCCCTTGCCTCGACGGCTGACAGTACTAATGCAATGCTATCCTTTCTGGACAAGCGGGACACAAGGAAAGCGACCACTGTACTCTGCCAAGACAGGGTAAGATGGTCTTTCAGAATTCCTGCTTCTGAAAATGGTCTGTCAGATACTTTAGGCCTGTAGCCAATTTGAATGCACCAACAATGCTGAGAAACATTAGGTGACTGTCCAGGCTGCCAGCTGTCTCCGTCTACTCTCGCAAGATTCCCGAAAGTTGCTTGCATCCATCTACCATTTCTCAGGTACCATTATATTCCTTCTCAGGTCTTTGATGGGATTGAAGACTAGCAGTTATAGTTACAACCTAGTAGATAGAACATATTAAGTATTAGATTCAGGTTCTTTAGGATAGGACACCTTTTGGAATGATCTTTGTAACATGCCATTTACCTATGCTCTATACTTCTCTGGATTATAGTATGTGTTTCTTGCTTGATATTGTTTGCATTGGTTGTAGTTCCATCTTATCTAGGTCATTATCCCTCATTATTCCTGGACTATATTTGATAACCATTCCTTTGTATATAGTCTTGTATTAGGTTAGAACTTTCTTATTTAGACAAAAAGGGGGAGATGTAGTGGGTAGCCATTCCAGCTTTGATCTGTAAGTTCCAACCCCCATTGAGACTTCGGCAACTGTCACGCCTACAAGGCGGGGCGAAAGGAGGCGCCTGGGGACCTGAGATCTGGATCGGCGGGCTCTCTCTCTCTGTTGCGGGACCCTGGACTGGAGAGGTGGACTGAGCAGAGCTCCAGAGAACACCGCTGGACTGCGATACACCTTCCCCAGACTCCGTGACCTACCTATCCCTTAATTTGTAAGTTACGCCATTAAATAAATCTCCTTTTATCTACGTGGAGTGGCCTTAATAATTTCACCAATACTAGTGAGAGCTCACAGACTCTGGACTAACAGCTAGAGGGCCTTCATGGGACCAACCTAGGCCCTCTGCATGTGGGTGACAGTTGTGTAGCTCTGTATGTTTGTGGAGTCTCTAGCAGTGGGATCATGCATTCCTGGTGCTTCAGCTGGCTTTTTGGAACATATTCCCCATGCTAGGATGCCTTGTGAAGGTTGATGCAGGGGGAGGAACTAAGTCCTGCCTCAGCTTGATATGTCATGCTTTGGTGACTCCCTCCCATGGGAGCCCTGTCCATTTCTGAATGGGATGGATGAGACAGAGGATGGGAGGTGCGGGGAGGGAATAGGAAGTGAGGAAGGAGGGGAAACTGTGGTTGGTATGTAAAATAAATGAAACAAATAACAACAACAAGAAAAGACTGGGCTGTAGGCAAGCCTGAAGAGCATTTTCTTAATTAGTGCTTGATGGGGGAGGGTCAAGCCCATTGTTGGTGGAGCCATTCCTGGGCTGGTGGCTCTGGGTTCTATAGGAAAGCAGCCTGAGTAAGCCATCAGGAGCAATCCAATAAGCAACACTCTTCCAGGGCCTCTGCATCAGCTCTGCCTCCAGGTTCCTGCCCTGTTTGAGTTCCTGTCCTGTCCTGACTTCCTTCAATGATGAACAGTGATATGGAAGTGTAAGGTAAATACACCCTTTCTTCCCCCAAATTCCTTTTAATCATGTTGTTTCATCACAACAATAGTAACCCTAAGACAGTAAGTTTATGAATTAAAACTATAAACTGAAATGACACGAAAAAACATATTTGTAATTCATCTATATGGTACAACTTTTGTGTTCAGAATAAATAACTGATACAACTCAGGAAAAAAAGTGATCCCTAGTCATCAGGGAAATGCAAATTAAATCTGCTGTGAGATACTAGCTCACTCCAGGTAGATTGGCTATAATCAAAATAACTGACAACAAATGTGGCAGAGGTTGTAGAGAATGAGGAACACGTATTCACTGCTGCTGGGTGTGAAAATTAATACAGTCATTATATAGAGCTTGTGTAAGTCCCTCAAAACATTTGAAATATCACATGACTCAGCTATTTTACTGAGCATATACCCAGAGATCCTGTACCCTACCATAGAGATATTGGCACCCCATGATTGCTGCTGGTTGATTCAATATGGCAAGGAGATGGAACCAATCTAGATGCCCATCAACAGATGAATGCATAATGCAAGTGTAGTGCATATACCAAATGAAATATTATTCATCCCTAGAAAAAATTAAATCACAAAATTTACAGGAAAGAGGATAGACTTAGAATATATACTGTTAAATAAGATCACCCAAACTCAGGGGAAAAACTACCTGTTCTTTCTTGTGTGTGGATCCTAGCCTATATAATGTATGCATGTACATATGTAGTTAAATATGTAGAGGTACAGTACAACATATAAGAAGAGTAATTTTAGAGAGACAAAATACTCCCTAGTGAATTCACATACATGCTGTACTTTGTGTGGGTCCTCTGAATGCTCATTTTCTCAACATGAAACACGGTTTTGATGTAAAACAGGTTTTTAACAAGCAATATCCACCTGTAACTCTGTGCTGACACCTTACTGGGAGCCCAAATTTGAAGTTATGTTTTTCATCTTTTAAATGTCCCTGTACAATGCACTTCTTGTAAGTGCTACCAACTTAGGGTGCATCATTCTTTAAACAATAAATCCAGTGATAAAGGCTTCCAAAGTATGCATAAATCATCATAATTGGGGGATTTTTGAAAATTCCAGGAAATGCTGACATACTGCCCCTGAATCCCCAAGACTAACACACCAGGAATTACCAGCACTGAAAAGTTTGCAGTGTTTGGTTTGGTTTTCATTTTATGTTTTAAGTCTAGAATGTGTTATTGTTAGTGAATGAATGTACTTTGCTTTAAAATTTAAAGTTGGAATAAAACGATTTTAGAGTTAGCAAAGGACTTGGATATTCCTGCCCTGAACAAGATATACAAAAAAATCTAATAAAAACACATGGGAAAGGGGGCTCAACATCATCAGTCTTCCTGGAATTGCAGATCAAAATGGCATTGATTCTTACCTCAGCTATTATGATCTCCAGCAAAAATCTACCTAGATCTTCAAAGGTGGCTGCTTACTGGGACCTCAGGGAACTTGGTGCTCAGGTTCATTCCAGCATTTGTAGCTTGGCTACCATCCTTGTAGTAGCCCTAATATGAGCTGCAGGTCTCCTCATGAACAACAGGGGGCGACAATAAACCACATCTTCAACAGGGAAAATCTCCTTGAGGAGTGACCCTATCTTGCAGCCTTGTTTCCATCCCAGGTCCAACAGACCTGGAGCTCCCTCACATAATCATTTCCTGTGTCTCTGAAACTCCCACTCTGCAAGGAGACCCTATGTAGTCCCCTCCCTCCTCTCATCATCCATGAGGAAAGACAGGAAGTTCACAGGGCAATCACCAAGGAGAGCAAAGACAACCCAGAAGGTCAGGGAGGGCAAAGGCAGACCTGAATCACATTCAGCCAGCACAGGAGCTGGGGGTGGAGGAGTCTCCTTGGTGCCCTCCATAAGAAACTGGAGCACAGGGTCCTCTTCCTAGGACACACAGGCCACCTCCTCCTGCACAGCAGAATATGAACCCCTGAGATAACATGTATTCCTTCATCAGACACCTGACTGGTGACACTAGTGATGACAGGTCTGGGCCCTCCACAGGCATCACTCAGCTGGACCTTTTCCTGCCCCTAGAGCAGACTGCCACTCCCTGCTGGGAATAAACCCCACCTTCCCTGAGCATTGATTCACAGGGCAGACCGGGCTCTTCTAGGTTTTAGGGTCTCAAGGAAATACACTCTTGTCTCTAGGAAGTTTAGGGACAAGGCCCTGGGGTGAGCTGCTGTTTTCTTGGGACACAGGACACTTCTCTTTAAACAATAAATCCAGTGGTAAAGGCTTCCAAAGTATGCATAAATCATCATAATTGGGGGATTTTTGAAAATTCCAGGAAATGCTGACATACTGCCCCTGAATCCCCAAGACTAACACACCAGGAATTACCAACACTGAAAAGTTTGCAGTGTTTGGTTTGGTTTTCATTTTATGTTTTAAGTCTAGAATGTGTTATTGTTAGTGAATGAATGTACTTTGCTTTAAAATTTAGATAGAAAAAAATCTATCATTATTAGAACCTTTGCATTTGGTAGAAATTTGAAATGTGAGTGTGTAACTCACATTTCTCAGGACACTTCTCAGCCTTTCGGCTCAAAGTATGTTCTAGAACACTGAACAACAAAGGAACAGAAGGGTGGGAGGCAGCACTCACAGAAGAACAGAGCAATGCATACTCATAGCCTCCACCCCCAGCCCATCTGACTCCAGGAAGTGCCCTCCTCTGGGAGGAGGCTGAGGTCTGGGAATAAAATCAGAGCAGACACCAGAGGAGCCCAGTTTGGCAGCAGTCTGAGAGACAAACCTCCTCTCCAGAGGAAGAGCCTAGCCCACAGCAGAAACTATGGAGCTCACCTCAGCCCCTCTCCACAAAGGACAGGTATCCTGGAGGGGACTTCTGCTCACAGGTGAGGAGACATTCCTCAGGAACAGTGAGTTGGGGAGCTCAGAGACTGGATGGGGTCTTCTGGGAGAGGGAAAGAGCCTGAGAAATGGCATCTGGCTCTGCTTGAAGCCTGAGACCATCAGGAGGCTCACAGTGGATGGTAATTGGGAAGTGGGGAAGAAAAACTCAGTTGCTCCCCATTGTAGATTTATCAGCACTGGTCACTGTATCCTGAAGACTCCAGTTGACAACTTCATCAGGGTGACTCTCCAAGTAAAACTCAAAAGGGCGAGTAAACGACATCATTATGTAGGACCCTGAGAAATTTGCAAATAAACCCCAGGCCCTAGGACACTTATTTGCTCACAGGTATTTGAGCCTGTTTGAGGTAGAGAGGTTTAAACCAAAATCCAACTAGTCCTCCTCAGAAAGACCTGCTACTATTGGGCAGGAAGATAGAGCAGCAAGGACATCTAGAAGGTGGGTCCAGGGGTTGACAAGCACTTGAGAAGAAACAGAGCAGGGAAAGGTCAGAAAATTAAGGCACAGAGTCTTTTAGAGGAGGAGATCAGACAAGACATGCTACATTCACCACAGATTCTGAGTATAAGTAGGGATCTGAGGGCAGTGAGGGGTGAGCTGTGTAGACACTATGATGCCAGTTTCATAAAGTAGAAAGATTCAGGGGTACTGATGAATGGGGGTGATGCTGCTGACCTCCCCTCAACAGGACACACACACCAAGGCTGAGAGTTAAACACTCACATTTCAAAGTTCTACCAAAAGCAAAAGTCCTAATAATGATAGATTTTTTTCTCTCTTCCCTCTTAGTCTCTCTTTTAACCTCCTGGAACTCTCCCACCAATGCCTAATACATCACTCTTGAAGCAGTTCCACCCATTGTTGCTGTTGGGAATGACGTTCTTCTAGTTGTCCACAGTCTGCCCTTGCAGTTCACTCGCTTTTACTGGTACGAGGAAAATAACTCTGTGAAGCACGTGATAGCCACAATTACTCTTCAACCAACTTTAATAGTACCTGAGCCTCAATACCGTGATAAAATGACAATGTACGAAAATGGATCCCTGCTCATCAGGAATGTCAGTAAGGATGACACAAGAGGCTACAAAGCAACGATGACAAATCTATACTCTGTTGATACGAATCTCTCCGTGGACTTTCAAGTATACTGTGAGTAATTCTCTGTAACCTCTGGGTCATGGGTGGAACTAATCCTACCTCACATATATGGCTGTCATTCCTGGATGACTCTGTGTTATGGTCCCCACATTGTGATACAAACATTTAGTTAAGGACACACAGTGGAGAAAAACGGCAGTAAATCAGGATGCCTCACTTGAATCCACCCTCAGAGAAGAGGTGGTGAGGTAACTGAGCTCAGGCATGTTAGACTCTTCCCAGGGTCTTAGATGCTCACCATGAACATGGCCTTGAGAAAGACCCTTCAGGACTCAGGCAGGGCCTAGCTGAAGAAACCATGAGAATCTCACCCCTAAATAGCTTTGCTCAAGAACTCCATGCCAGCCTGGTCCAGCAATGCTGAGAAGCTTGTAGACTGGGCTGGAATTTGATCTCCTATTGGATCTGACAGGACAATGATGGATTGTAGACTGGGAGCCTGCTGACAGTCAGCCTCTGAGAGCCATGTCTGAGGTAGGTCACCTGGGCATCTCTTCCTGAGACTCAGTGTGCTCAGCATAGGTGGAGAGGTAGGAAAGGCAGTCAGCCAGCTCTTCTGATGGTCTTCTGAGACCTCCCAGGAAGGTCACGATCCCTAAAGAGATAGAAGGAAAAGTGTACAAATGACAGCTCCTTGTCTCTGGGGGTCCCGCCTAAGGATTATTTCCTGCAGGCAAACACTAATAGACACTGCTTGGTGGAAGGTCAGGTTGTTGTTGACATTTAAGGTTAACTTGCAGGCATGGCAATGATCATTTACCATGTGTCCTATTATAGGGGAACTGAGACAGGAAACACAGTCACTGAGTCAGGGTCCAATAGGTTGTGGATAGCACAAGCTATCTGTCCACAGCCACATCTCCAGCCTCCCCAACATGGAAATAGTACTAGGTACCTTCACTCTTCTAGGTCATTTTGTGGAATCAGGACTCTCTTCTTCATGTGAATCAACATCAAACACCTGACAAGAATGGCCCACCTGTGACCCAGCCTGACCTAAATGTCAGCAGATCCTGGGCTGTGTGAGATCTCTGACAGGCTGTCATGTTTCTCAGGGAAGCTCAATTGGAAGACTAATCATGACCTGTCTGTAGGACAGCCCTGAACAGCAAAGGCTGGGAGGGCTCTGGTCTACACTCAGTAGGGGAGGTCAGTGCAGCTGGAGGGACTCAAACCTTGTGTCTCAAGGCAGGCAATGGGTCCTTCAGGACCAGGAGATAAAATGAGGTCTCTGATTTTAAGTCTTGAGTCTGACCATCACCAAACACTGCAGCTCAGTTCTCTCATGAGAAAGTCTTTTCTTCTCCCATACACAGCACAGGAGGCCCCATTATCTCTAAGCACTCAGCCACTCCATCTGCCTTTAATTTGCTTCCTGCCTGATTCTTTAAGGATCTGGGTTGCCTGAAAGTTAAGAGACTGTCTCTGATTGTAAGAGACCTTTGCAAGAATCAGAGGTACCACACAGGGCAATCATCTCTCTGTGGTTAGCACAGCACCACTAGCCAAGCCCAACATCACAACCAACAATTCCAATCCCATGGAGCGTGAGGACTCAGTAGCATTAATGTGTGAGCCTGAGACTCAGAATACAGCCTACCTGTGGAGGATAAATGATCAAAGCCTCTCAGAAGAGGACAGACTGAAGCTGTCTGAGGACAACAGGACTCTTACTTTACTCAGTGTTGTAAGGACTTATGGTGATATTTTAATTGTACTGAAATGTGATTTTATTTGTATGTTAATAAATAAAGTTGGGTGGGGGTCAGAGCTAATAGCAAGCCATAGCAGTAGGTATGAAGTAGGTGGAAGAGGTAGATAGTGTGAGTTTGAGGCCAGCTGGGTCTACATAGCAAGTTCTAAGCAAGCTAGAACTGTACAGTGAGACCCTGTCTCAAAAATGATCAGTACTGAGTATTAGAGTGGCAGGCTGTGGTCAGTACTGTGCCTCTTGACTTCTCTGTAGTATTTAATCCATATCCATGGGGCAAGAAATACAAATTTTTCTACAAACAGAAATTCTTCAGTTAGGGATTTCTCCCAGTCCTGAGGTATAGACTTTAACATCTTTAAGATTAGCTATGCCATCTTAACCCCATGACAAATTACTTAATAAAAAATAGACAGAAGTCTATTTCATAAAAGAGGGACCTGACTGTTCACACTCACAGAAAGTGGGAGCAAGAATTCCCACAAAAATCATTGGGAAATATATTACCCCCACCATGAGATTTCTGGACAGGTGGGTTAAAGAGGCTCCCAGTGTGGAATCTACACAAATACCCTGAGTCAGGGTCACTGTGAGTGATCTTGATGGAGTAAGATTCAGCTCTCTTCTTGCGGACCATATCTTCAATCCAAAGATGTGATCTTGCAGAGGGCCACTTCATTCTATGGACTCTGGGAGCTGTCTGAGATCTCTGAAGGTGACAGACTCTCAGCTGGCCCCATCCCTTGTTTATCCATAGATACAGTGACTAAACCCTCCATCCAAGTCAACAAAACCATAGAAAAAGACCTGGTCTCTGTGTTCCTGAAGTGCCCGTCAATTGACATTGATAACTCCATCAGTTGGTTCTTCAAAGGCCAGAGTCTGAGGATCATGAATAGGATGACACTGACCCAGAACAAAAGCATCCTCCAAATATTTCCTGCCAGCAGGGAGGATTCAGGGGACTATCAGTGTGAGGTATCCAATCCACTCGATTCCAAGATGAGTGACCCATTCCAGCTGGATGTAATAGGTGAGTGATCTCTGTTCCCCTCTTAATCCATAGTGTTGGAGGTGGGGGCAGTTTCTTTATCAACAGAGTGCAGAATGTATAAAAGTCACAAGGAGAAAAACATGGTTCAAGTTACAAAAAGAGCCAGCTTGATGATGGAGGCATGTTAATCTCATGATAACACACCAAGCAAGATGAGCACAGTGCTGCATGCCTTTAACCCAGCACACCAGAGGCAGAGACAGTTGGACCCTGGATATTCAAACACAAAAGCACAGTAGCCCTGTCTCACATTCCCATAGCTTCACATGATTGCCTTGATGAAATTGATGGAATTCAAGGATTGGAAGGAAAAGTTAGAACTAACCTAGACACTCGAGGTGAAAAGGACACTTGCTAAGATCCTCACACTTCATCTCACCCAATCAGTCTTCCGCCAGCAAGGTGGGAAGGTGTTTATCAGCTGTAGGAGTTTCCTGGTAGAAATTTCCTGATCACTTAGGCATACTTTCGTATCTTCTGCAAATAGGGAAAGTTTGACTTCTTCCTTTCCAATTTGTATCCCCCTGATATTATATTGTTGTCTTATTGCTCTACTTAGAACTTTGAGTACTTACTATACTGAATAAATATGGAGAGAGGAGAGAGCCTTGTCTTCTTCCTGATTTTAGTGGAATTGCTTTGTGTTCTCACCATTTAATTTGATGTTGGCTGTCAGATTGCTGTAAATTGCCTGTATTACATTTAAGAAACTTCCATGTATTCCTGATCACCCCAAGACCTTTGTCATGAAGGGGTGTTGGATTTTATCAAAGACTTTTTCAGCATCTAATGAGATGTGGATTTTTCTTTCAGTTTGATATATATGTGGATTACATTGATAAATTTTTGTATTTTTTTAATTTCAAATTTTTTAATTATTATTTTATTTTACAATATGATTTAATTCTACATATCAGCCATGGATTCCCTTGTTCTCCCCCCTCCAGCCCCCCTCCGTTTCCCCCCAGTCCACCCCTCATTCCCATCTTCTCCAGGGCAAAGACTCCCCCACAGACTGAGATCAACCTGGTAGACTCAGTCCAGGCAGGTCCAGTCCCCTCCTCCCAGGCTGTGCCAAGCATCCCTGCATAAGCCCCAGGTTTCAAACAGCCAACTCATGCACTGAGCACAGGACCCGGTCCTACTGCCTGGGGGCCTCCCAAACAGATTAAGCCAATCAACTGTCTCACCTATTCAGAGGGCCTGATCCAGTTGGGGGCCCCTCAGCCACTGGTTCATAGTTCATGTGTTTCCATTCATTTGGCGATTTGTGCCTGTGCTTTATCCAACCTTGGTCTCAACAATTCTCACTCATAAACCCTCCTCTTTCTCGCCAACTGGACTCCCGGAGCTCCACCCAGGGCCTGGCCGTGGATCTCTGCATCCAGTTCCCTCAGTCATTGGATGGGGTTTCTAGCACGACAATTAGGGTGTTTGGCCATCCTACCCCCAGAGTAGGTCAATTCGGGCTGTCTCTCGACCATTGCCAGCAGTCTGTTGTGGGAGCATCTTTGTGGATTTCTGTGGGCCTCTCTAGCACTTTGCTTCTTCCTATTCTCATGTGGTCTTCATTTACCATGGTCTCCTATTCCTTGTTCTCCCTCTCTGTTCTTTTTTTTTTAATTTTTTATTTTTATTTTGCAATACAATTCAGTTCTACATATCAGCCACAGATTCCCCCGTTCTCCCCCTCCCACCCCCCTCACCTTCCCTCCAACCCACTCCCCATTCTCACCTCCTCCAGGGCAAAGCCTTCCCCGTGGACTGAGATAAACCTGGTAGACTCAGTCCAGGTAGGTCCAGTCCCCTCCTCCCAGGCCGAGCCAAGCGATCCTGCATAGGCCCCAGGTTTCAAACAGCCGACTCATGTAATGAGCACAGGACCTGGTCCCACTGCCTGGATGCCTCCCAAACAGATCAAGCCAATCAACTGTCTCACCCATTCAGAGGGCCTGATCCAGTGTGGACCCCTCAGCCATTGGTTCATAGTTCATGTGTTTCCATTCGTTTGGCTATTTGTCCCTGTGCTTTATCCAACCTTGGTCCCAACAATTCTCGCTCATATAAACCCTCCTCATTCTCGCTAATTGGACTCCCAGAGATCCACCTGGAGCCTAGCCATGGATCTCTGCATCCAGATCCCTCAGTAGTTGGATGGGGTTTCTAGCACGACAATTAGGGTGTTTGGCCATCCCATCACCAGAGTACGTTAGTTCGGGCTGTATCTCGACCATTGCCAGCAGTCTGTTGTGGGGGTATCTTTGTGGATTTCTGTGGGCCTCTCTAGCACTTTGCTTCTTCCTATTCTCATGTCTTCATTGACCATGGTCTCCTATTCCTTGTTCTCCCTCTCTGTTCTTGATCCAGCTGGGATCTCCCGCTCCCCCAAGCTCTCTTTCCCTAAACCCTCGCCCTTCATTACCAGCACTCATGACCAGGCTGTTCATGTAGATCTCTTCCATTTCTCCATCATTGGGCAATTCCCGTGTCTTTCTTGGGGTCCTGTTTTCCAGGTGGCCTCCTTGGTGTTGTGAGTAGCAGTCCAGTCATCCTTGTTCCACATCTAGTATCCTGCTATGAGTGAGTACATACCATGTTTGTCTTTCTGAGTCTGGGTTACCTCACTCAGGATGATTTCCTCCAGATCCATCCATTTGCCTGCAAATTTCATGCTGTCATTGTTTTTCTCTGTTGAGTAGTATTCCATTGTGTATATCTACCACATTTTGTTTATCCATTCTTCAGTTGAAGGGCATCTAGGTTGTTTCCAGGTTCTGGCTATTACAAACAATGCTGATATGAATATAGCTGAGCAAGTGCCCTTGTGGTATGATTGAGCATTCTTTGGGTATATGCCCAAGAGTGGTATAGCTGGATCTTGGGGGAGATTGATTCCCAAATTTCTAAGAAAGTGCCATATTGATTTCCAAAGTGGTTGTACAAGCTTGCATTCCCACCAGCAGTGGAGGAGAGTTCCCCTAGCTCCACATCCTCTCCAGCATAAGGTGTCTTCAGTGTTTTTGATCTTAGCCATTCTGACAGGCGTAAGGTGGTATCTCAGAGTTGTTTTGATTTGCATTTCCCTGATGATTAGGGATGTTGAGCAATTCCTTAAATGTCTTTCAGCCATTTGAGTTTCCTCTGTTGAGAATTCTCTGTTTAGTTCTATAGTCCATTTCTTAATTGGACTGTTGGGTATTTTGATGTCTAATTTCTTGAGTCCCTATATATTCTGGATATCAGTCCTCTGTCAGATGTGGGGTTGGTGAAGACCTTTTCCCATTCTGTAGGCTGTCACTTTGCCTTGTTGATGGTATCCTTTGCTCTACAAAAGCTTCTCAGTTTCAAGAGGTCCCATTGATTGATTGTTTCTCCCAGTGTCTGAGCTACTGGTGTTATATTTAGGAAGTGATCTCCTATGCCAATGCGTTCAAAACTACTTCCTACTTTCTCTTCTAGCAGGTTCAGAGTAGCTGGATTTATATTGAGGTCTTTGATCCACTTAGACTTAAGTTTTGTGCACAGTGACAGATATGGATCTATTTGCAGCCTTCTACACATTGATATCCAGTTATGCCATCACCATTTGTTGAAGATGCTTTCTTTTTTCCATTGTACACTTTTGGCTTCTTTGTCAAAAATTGTATGTTCATTGGTGTGCAGATTAATGTCAGGGTCTTCAATATGATTCCATTGGTCCACATGTCGGTTTTTATGCCAGTACCAAACTGTTTTTATTACTGTAGCTCTATAGTAGAGCTTGAAGTCAGGGATTGTGATGCCTCCAGAGGTTGTTTTATTGTACAGGATTCTTTTTGCTATCCTGGGTTTTTTGTTTTTCCATATGAAGTTGAGTATTTTTCTTTCCAGGTCTGTGAAGAATTGTGTTGGTATTTTGATTGGGATTGAATTGAATCTGTAGATTGCTTTTGGTAAGATTGCCATTTTTACTATGTTAATCCTACCTATCCATCAGCATGGGAGATCTTTCCATTTTCTGAGATCTTCTTCAATTTCTTTTTTCAGGGACTTAAAGATCTTGTCATATAGGTCCTTCACTTGCTTGGTTAGTGTTACCCCAAGGTATTTTATATCATTTGTGGCTACAGTAAAGGGTGATGTATCTCTGATTTCCTTCTCAGCCTGTTTGTCAATTGTATATAGGAGGGCTACTGATTTTTTTTGGTTGATCTTGTATCCTTCTATGTTGCTGAAGGTGTTTATAAGCTGTATCAGTTCCTTGGATGAAGCTTTGGGGTCACTCAAGTATACTATCATGTCATCTGCAAATAGGGAAAGCTTGACTTCTTCCTTTCCAATTTGTATCCCCTTAATCTCCTTATGTTGTCTTATTGCTCTGGCTAGAACTTCAAGTACTATATTGAATAAATATGGGGAGAGTGGACAGCCTTGCCTCGTTCCTGATTTTAGTGGAATTGCTTTGAGTTTCTCTCCATTTAATTTGATGTTGGCTGTTGGCTTGCTGTAAATTGCCTTTATCATGTTTAGGTATGTTCCCTGTATTCCTGATCAATCCAAGACCTTTATCATGAAGGGGTGTTGGATTTTGTCAAATGCCTTTTCTGCATCTAGTGAGATGATCATGTGGTTTTTTTCTTTCAGTTTGTTTATATGGTGTATTACATTGATGGACTTTCGTATGTTGAACCACCCTTGCATCCTTGGGATGAAGCCTACTTGATCATGGTGGATAATTGTTTTGATGTGTTCTTGGAGTCTGTTTGCCAGTATTTTATTGAGTATTTTTGCATCAATGTTCATGAGGGAGATCGGTCTGTAGTTCTCTTTCTTTGTTGTATCCTTGTTTGGTTTAGGAATCAGGGTAATTGTAGCCTCATAGAAGGAGTTTGGTAATGTTCCTTCTGTTTCTATTGTGTGGAACAACTTAAAGAGTATTGGTATTAACTCTTCTTTGAAGATCTGGTAGAATTCTTTGCTGAAACCATCTGGTCCTGGGCTTTTATTGGTTGGGAGACTTTTAATGCCTGTTTCTATTTTGTTAGGGGTTATTGGACTATTTAAATAGTTTATCTGGTCTTGATTTAACTTAGGTATGTAGTACCTATCCAGAAAATTATCCATTTCTTTTAGATTTTCCAGTTTTGTGGAGTAAAGGTTTTTGAAGTATGACCTGATGATTCTCTGGATTTCCTCAATGTCTGTTGTTATGTCCCCCTTTTCATTTCTGATTTTGTTAATTTGCATGCTCTCTCTCTGTCTTTTGGTTAGTTTGGATAAGGGCTTATCTATCTTGTTGATTTGCTCAGTGCATGGGTTGGATGTTTGAAACCTGGGGCTTATGCAGGGATGCTTGGCTCAGCCTGGGAGGAGGGGACTGGACCTGCCTAGACTGAGTCTACCAGGTTGATCTCAACCCTTGGGGGAGTCTTTGCCCTGGAGGAGATGGCCATAGGGGGTGTAGGAGGGGGAGGGAAGTGGAGGGAATGTGAGGGGAGAGAACAAGGGAATCCGTGGCTGATATGTAGAATTAAATTATATTGTAAACTAAAATAATAATAAAATAATTAAACAAGTAAATAAATAAATAAACAAACAAACAAAAAGGTATTTCTTAAAAGAGGGACATGACTGTTCACACTCACAGAAAACGTGAGCAAGAATTCCCACAATAATCATTGGGAAATACTTTCTTCCCGCCATGAGATTTCTGGACATTTGGCCTGAAGAGGCTCCCAGTGTGGAATCTACACAAACACCCTGAGTCAGGTTCACTGTGGGTGATCTTGGTAAGAGTAAGATTCATATCTTACAGACCATATCTTGAACATGTGATCTTGCAGAGAGCCCTTTCATTCTATGGGCCCTGGGAGCTGGCTGATATCTCTGAGGGTGAAGGACTCTCAGCTGGTCCCCTCCACTGTTTATTCACAGAACCAGTGACTAAACCCTCCATCCAATTCACCAATACTACAATTAAAGACCTGACCTCTGTGATCCTGAAGTGCTTGACAAACGACACTAGTCTCTGCCAGGATTGAGCATTCTGGGAACTATCAGTGTGAAGTATCCAATCAAGTCAGTTCCAAGAAGAGTGACCCCATCCAGCTGGACATAATACGTGAGTGAACTCTGTTGCCTTCTTACTCCACAGTGTTAGGGGTGGGGGCAGTTTCTTTATCAACAGAGTGCAGAATGGGTCAAAGTCACAAGGAGAAAAACACTGGTCAGGAAACAAATATAGCCAGCTTGGTGATGGATGCATGTTAATCTCATGATAACACACCAAGCAAGCTGAGCACAGTGCTGCATGCTTTTAACCCCAGCACACCAGAGGCAGAGACAGTTGGATCTCTATGAGTTCCCAACCACCCTTGTCTTTGTAGCCAGTTTCAGGTTAGCCTGAGCTACATAGTGAGACCCTGTCTCAAAGGAGAGAGAGCTTGAAGCAGGAAGCATAGAAGTACAAGGCCACTCAACTGAATGGACCAGGCTCTGCTGACAAACTATGGGAGACCTTGCCTTGGAAGAGGTGGCAATAGGGGGTGTATGGAGCGGGAACACTGAGGGCTGAGGGAATGAGGAAAGGGGAATCTGCTGTTGGTATGTAAAATAAATAGAAAATCTCTTAATAAGAAAAGAAGTACAAGGCCAGCCCAGATTACATTGTGAGACCCTGTCAATAATAGCAACAATAGAAGTCAATATAGGAAATAGAAATGCAAAGTGATTAAGAGTTTAGGGTCTGAGTCACACACACAGACCACCCTCAGAATCCACTAAAATAGTGATGTTACTCTACATCCCATACCACACAATCAAATTTTCTTTAGATTATTTCTAATATCTAATATGAATACTGCATAAACACTAGTCTTACTGTCTTGAGTACAGGAAAAATAGGAGGAAGCAATACATTTTTCATTGTAGAGATATTTTTCCAAGTAGTTGGCTTCAAGGTTTCGATCCATAAATATAAAATCCATAGATAGGAAGGACCTGTATTGAGTTTCTTACTATGTTTGCATATTTATTCATTTTGTATGGGTGCTCCCCGAATAATGTGTGGAGGTCATAGGACAATTTGTGAGGGCCAGTTCTCTGGGGAGAGGAAATTGAACTCAGGTAGGTGGGCAAGCCCTTTATCTGCTAAGCCATTTCACTGTCCCACATTGTTTTTGCATTTATATCTGTGTGGCCGTTGGGGGTAGGTACTGGGAGGGAATAGGGCAGGCACTCTTCCCAACTGAGCCATCTTGGTGGCGCATATACTGAGTTTCTTATCTCATGCTCCTTGCACAGACTCTTTTTTCTGATAACTTTTTTTGTGTTAGTAGTAGTAGTAGTAGTAGTAGTAGTAGTAGTAGTAGTAGTATGTGTGTGTGTTTGTTTCTTAACTATTGAGCTATCTCTCCAGTCCCATAAACCAAATACACGGAGAGATAGCTCAATAGTTAAGAGCCCTAGCAGCTCTTCCAAAGGACAGGGGTTCAATTCTCAGTACCCACATTGCATCTTATTACTATCTCTAACTGAAGTTCCAAGGAATTCAGTACCCTTTTCTGTACAAAACATTCATGTGGTGTAGAGACATATAAGCAGTCAAAAGGCCCATATGATGCATCTGGCATCATAACAAAGACATTATTCGAAATCTAATTTCAAGGTGCTTTCAGCTGGTCTCCTAAAAGTCTGATGACTTTCAGCTCTGATCCATTTTAGGCCCTTGATCTATGTAGTGTTGATTTGTTTATGTTGTTAGGTGAAGGCTTAATTTCATTCTTTTACCTTGATATCCCATTTTCTAAACATGCCTTGTTTAACTGATTATTCGTCCATCATTGAACAATCTTATCAGCCTGATCAAAACACATCTGGTCACAGAGGGTCAGTCAGATGGACAACAAGAATGCCTTCCAATTTCTGTAACTCAATAGGACAATTCTGTTTCACACCAATTAATTCAAAATAGCCAGCAGAAATGAATGTTTTTAACAAACATAAAAAGTGACAGATGAAATGGTGGATATGCCTACTGTGCATATCTGACACACTTTATAATATATATGCAAAACTGTGCCCCATAAATACACATATTGATCATATCAACTAATCTTTAATTTAATAATGTCCAGTGTGTATGAGCAGTTCTGGGCTTTCCAATTCTATTTCACTGATCTGTATGTCTGCCTTTATGTCAGCAGTAGACTGTTGATTGTTGCAGCTTTGTACTAAAATTATGAAATCATGTAGGATATCCTGCAATTTTATTGTTTTTTTTCAAGATACTTTTAAGGCCAGGTATGGTGGTGCTTGCCTCTAACCCCAGCTCTTGAGAGCAGAGACAAGTGGATCTCTGGGATTTGAGGCCAGCTTGATCTATATAGTGAGTTTCAAGACAGCTAGAATAGACTTTGCTATTTCTGTGCAAAATGCCACTGGGGTTTTGATCTGATGTGCATAGAACTGATAGAGTACATTCAGGGATATTGTCATCTATTAAAAAAAGTCTTTCAGGCAAGCTGACTTATTCCTGTAATTCCAGCCACTCAAGAAGTTGAGGCAGGAGTATCAAGTTCTAAAAGTGCCTACTACAACCAATTCAAGGTCAGCCTAATCAATTTAGTGACATCCTGTTTCTAAATAAAAATTAGAAGGCAGAGCTTAGAGTACAGTTCAGTGGTAGTGCATTGCTTACCATGCACAAAGCCCTGGGTTCAATCCCAGTACTGCAGAACAACAGTGATAATGAGATTAAGTCTTCCAACCCATCAACCCCAATGGCTGTCATTTCTTGTCTTCTTTCATCATCTCTTATTTGGTAGTTTGCTGAGTGCAAGTCTTTTATCTCCTTGGTGGAGTTAATTCTAAGTATTTTATTCTTTTTGGTGATTTCATAAATAAATACTTTCTTCATTTCCTTTCCAATTGTTCACTGTTAAGGCTGGAACTTTTGCTCAGGGGCTGAACACTTGCCGGGCACGCACGAGGCCCTAGGTTAAAGCTCCACTACTGCTGGGAAAAACAAAAATCCAATTTTTCATGGTCAATATTAGTATACAGAAATACATCTCACTTGGGCTTTTTCATTTCATTAGCCAACAAATTTACTAGTTTTGCTCATTTATTTCTGAGAACTTTCTGTAGAATGTTCTGGATTTTCTATGAACAAGTTCCTGTCATCTACAGATAGGTTTAGGACCTCATAATTGGGCACCTTCATTTCATTGTCTAGCTTAACATCTCCTAATAGTCTCTTGAACAGAAGTGGTCACAGCAGCATCCTGTGTTCTTCCTGATCTTAAAGAGAAAGCTGTCAGTCTCCCCACTGCATATGATGTTGGCTGTGGGTTTCCATGTGTGGCCTTTGTTACACTACGCTGGACTTCGATCCAGTTTCAGTGTTTTTATTATCAAAGTCTGTGAAATTTTGTCAATTTTTGTTGATTCAATCTTATTGGTTATACAGCTATTTGATTTTGTTTCTTTCACAATTCCATCTCTAAAGAATTCAGGTTTGTAGGAATTTGTCCATTGTATTAAGGCCACTCAACAGTTAGCATATAATTACTGAGTGCTCTTGAAATTCTTCATATTCTTGAGAATGAATGGTGAGGTCTCAAACTGTATGAATATCCATCTCCTTTTTTCAGTAAATCTGGGGAAAGGTTGCTAATGATGTTAATCATTTTTGAAGAACCAACTTTTGGTGCATCAGCTTTCTTTGCAGTTACTCTAGTCTCTGTTTTGTTCATCTTCATCCTCATCTGCAGTTTTCTCCTTCCACTAGGATGGGGGAACTTTTAGGGGGCAAGGGTCTCATTATATAACCCAGACTTGCCTCAGATTCACAATCCTCCTGCCTCAGCCTCTGAAGCTAGGATGCTAGGTTATATCACATCCTTCACCTGCCTCATAGTAGTTTTTAAAGACTTAATATAATAATCAGGTAACCTTTTTTGGCAAAATACCACACACAGAGGAAAAAAATGTTGCTGCAATTATTCCTACCACTAGTGTTAGCATTGAAGTCAGGTAGCCAGGTCTATATCTGATTAACTATACAGATTTAAGTACTTTTAAAAAACCACTTTAAGTTTCAGTTTTTCATCATCTGAATGGAAATAATTTCTATGTGACAGACTCATCATATAGATGAAACCAGAAACAAATACAGGGCCAGCCACATCATAAATACCATACCACCATGGTCAACATTAGCGTTAATAATCACTCTTGAGCAGACTGGTGAGGTTTGAGCCCCAAATGTTTAAAACAAGAAGTAAAAATGTGAGCACAACATTGATACATAAGGGGTGTGGGGAGACACATGTTATCCAAAAGGTGAAACCACTTTAACTAAACAGCTACTAAATAAAAATGGGAGAGAAAAAAGGAGGTGGGGGGTCTGATGCAAAATTTCTAAACCTGGTAATTTACTAGATTTCATCCTCCAGGATGTGTCCATGATGGGCTTAGACAAGCAAGGTATTAGCAGAGGGATATACTTGTGAAGGTGAGCCTGAGATAGCCCTCAGGACACATGCATATTTGATCCCTGTGTAGGCAGAAAAGCAGGCATGTCTTAGATTGCAGTGTAGTTCCAACAGAGTTTCTGCAAGGTCGAGGCTGAGTTCCCTACAATCACCAAGCAGAGGGATTTGGGGTCTTACAGAGTCTGTCTTGCTTTTCTACCCCACTACAGAAACCATGGTCTCTGCAGAGGAACTGGTACATTGAGAGTCAATAGCCTGGGCCTTCTGTCACTTAGATCACAGCCACAAGAGACCACTTATTCATGGCTGCCACAACTGAGACCCTGAGAATAAGATGGAAACACTGGATATTCAACACACAAAATCGCAATAGCCCTGTCTCACATTTCCACAGCTTCACATGATTGCCTTGATGAAATTGATGGAATTCAAGGATTGGAAGGAAAAGTTAGAACTAACCTAGACACTCGAGGTGAAAAGGACACTTGCTAAGATCCTCACACTTCATCTCACCCAATCAGTCTTCCTCCAGCAAGGAGGGAAGGTGTTTATCAGCTGTAGGAGTTTCCTGGTAGAAATTTCCTGATCACTTAGGCATACTATCGTATCTTCTGCAAATAGGGAA